GTAATGATTGACTTCAATATGTAATGTCTTCGTCGGCCGCTTAAGATAATGTCAATCAGATTTTGCGTTTGATCCACAAAACCAAGTCTTTTGGGTACGGATGACATGACTTAACAATTGATTTAAACCGTTATAAAAGTGATTGTTTTATAGCTTATAAATAATTGACAATTAAATGATCACGTGTGGTTTACTATATTGATTTGTTGTTAACAATGATTGACAAACAATTAGCGCAAGAGTTAACTGCAATTAATTGTTGTAATGCTTTATATGTTTAGAATTAATTTCAAACTTTGAACTCAATTGTAAATCATTTGAGTTTGTATTTGAATTCAAACAAAACAACACATATTTGGCATTCGTTTGAAAGGATTTCTCTTTATTTGTGAAATGAATTCATTGGAAAACAAGTCAAACAGCGATTGGAAACAAATGAGACAACAGATTGATATTCTGAAGCAAAGTTTGGCCGCATTTCGGGAACAATTGGTCGAAGAATTGGTTGATATCGCGGATCAGAAGTTGAATCAATTCAAAGAGATTTTGTTCACTAAATTGAAAGCCAAAGAAACTGAGAAACAAATTCCGAAATGAGATATCGTTTGAAGAAATGTTTTATTTATTCAATATTTATTTGATTAGTAAAAATTACACTTATATTCTGTATTCAATGAAATAAAAATAAAATTAGTATTTTAGTAATTAGTAGTTCTTTGGCAATAATATTGTTAATAAAAAATCACTTAATTTTCTGATAAACTCTAACTCTTTGTCTTCTGTCAGATGTGTGCTCAAGAGGTAGACATTATTTTGATTGTCTTTACCCGACAAAGTATACAGTATAAGACTTATACTATAAGTTATGCTAAATATTACTCAAATTATAGTGAAATAAAATTATACAACAATTTTTGATTATAAATATTATAAAAATCAATGAAATTATAAATGAATTATAAAAAATAAATGATTTGTTAAAAACGATTAGACGAACAGTGAATAAGATTCTGGCATTCAGTGCTACAAAACTTAATGCAAAGTTTTCAGTCGTTTCGAAACTTTCGCGCATTCATTGCACGCAATGTTAAAGTGATATGTATTTCACTATTTGTTTACATTTGTACACAATGTTTGACAAGTATTTGACACTTCATGTCATCCCCTCATAAACATCACTTTATGCCTCATTTTAGGCACACTTTTATACAATTAATGGTTTCGTTAATAAACAATGAATAATAAATTAATTAAATATTTGATAATTGCGTTAATATTGACCACAATTTGTGTGTTTTATGCAAATGTATTGACGTTTTTGTGTTATTTATTGCTAACAATAATAGTGTCGTTTAATAAACAATGAATAATAAATTAATTAAATATTTGATAATTGCGTTAATATTGACCACAATTTGTGTGTTTTATGCAAATGTATTGACGTTTTTGTGTTATTTATTGCTAACAATAATAGTGTCGATAATAGCCATTCAATTGGCCCTCAAATGCAATGCAAAACAATTAATACATTGTTTTGTGAATTATAACCAAAATGTGATACACTTTAAGACAGACATCGACTCAAACGATAGCAAAACACTCGCCATTGAAGAGACGGACAAAGAAGTGGACAACTTTTTCCGCACCCGATCTCTGGTGTCGACAAATGTGGACCAATTGTTGGACCAATTGATTGACTTTTGTTTAAGAGATTTTGTATTTCTTTGGTATAAGGATTTGACCGATGATTGCGATCACCAAACCATTCATTCAACGCTCAAGTATTGCTCAACACTTTAGCCATTAATTGCCCTCTTATTTAACCACTGATTATGTCTTTGATTTGTCCGCAAAATAGAAACGATTTTTACGAAATAATCGTTAATATTGTCCGAAGAATGGCATCAATAGATTCGCTAAAGTTTTTCACGCATAATATCGTCAATCGATGTCTGAAACACTTCCAAAAGATAACGATCTGTTTGTCGGGTAAAGACAATCAAAACAATGTCTACCTCTTGAGCACACATCTGGCAGAAGACAAAGAGTTAGAGTTTATCAGAAAATTAAGTGATTTTTTATTAACAATATTATTGCCAATTTGGCAATAATATTGTTAATAAAAAATCACTTAATTTTCTGATAAACTCTAACTCTTTGTCTTCTGCCAGATGTGTGCTCAAGAGGTAGACATTGTTTTGATTGTCTTTACCCGACAAACAGATCGTAATCTTTTGGAAGTGTTTCAGACATCGATTGACGACATTATGCGTGAAAAACTTTAGCGAATCTATTGAAGCCATTCTTCGGACAATATTAACGATAATTTCGTAAAAATCGTTTCTATTTTGCGGACAAATCAAAGACATAATCAGTGGTTAAATAAGAGGACAATTAATGGCTAAAGTCTTGAGCAATACTTGAGCTTTGAATGAATGGTTTTGTGATCGCAATCGTCGGTCAAATCCTTATACCAGAGGAATATAAAATCTCTTAAACAAAAGTCAATCAATTGGTCCAACAATTGGTCCACATTTGTGGACACCAGAGATCGGGTGCGGAAAAAGTTGTCCACTTCTTTGTCCGTCTCTTCAATGGCGAGTGTTTTGCCATCGTTTGAGTCGATGTCTGTCTTAAAGTGTATCACATTTTGGTTATAATTAACAAAACAATGTATTAATTGTTTTGCATTGCATTTGAGGGCCAATTGAATGGCTATTATCGACACTATTATTGTTAGCAATAAATAACACAAAAACGTCAATACATTTGCATAAAACACACAAATTGTGGTCAATATTAACGCAATTATCAAATATTTAATTAATTTATTATTCATTGTTTATTAAGGAAAGCATTAATTGTATAAAAGTGTGCCTAAAATGAGGCCAAAAGTGGTGTTTATGAGGGGATGACATGAAGTGTCAAATACTTGTCAAACATTGTGTCAAAATGTAAACAAATTGTGAAATACTTTAACATTGCGTGCAATGAATGCGCGAAACGACTGAAAACTTTGCATTAAGTTTTGTAGCACTGAATGCCATAATCTTATTCACTGTTCGTCTAATCGTTTTTAACAAATCATTTATTTTTTATAATTCATTTATAATTTCATCGATTTTTATCATATTTATAACCAAAAATTGTTGTATACTTTTATTTCACTATAATTTCAGTAATATTTAGCACAACTTATAGTATAAGTCTTATATAAGTGTTATACAAGTATAATACGAGATGTTTGATAGCATTCCTCCACTTTGAACAACTCATTCACAAATTACTTCTCAACAGTCTATACCTGTTTATCACTATTTACTATTAAATTAATATTATCATTGTTTTAAGACATTTATTTAATTAAAAAGATTTCAAACAAAAAATAATAAAATACTATTTTTATTTGCATTTAATTGAATACAGAATATAAGTGTAATTTTTACGAATCAAATAAATATTGAATAAATAAAACATTTCTTCAAACGATATCTCATTTCGGAATTTGTTTCTCAGTTTCTTTGGCTTTCAATTTAGTGAACAAAATCTCTTTGAATTGATCCAACTTCTGATCCGCGATATCAACCAATTCTTCGACCAATTGTTCCCGAAATGCGGCCAAACTTTGCTTCAGAATATCAATCTGTTGTCTCATTTGTTTCCAATCGCTGTTTGATTTGTTTTCCAATGAATTCATTTTACAAATCAAGAGATCCTTTCAAACGAATGCCAAATATGTGTTGTTTTGTTTGAATCCAAATACAAACTCAAATGATTTACACTTCAGTTCAAAGTTTGAAATCAATTCTAAACATATTAAGGATTACAACAATTAATTGCAGTTAACTCTTGCGCTAATTGTTTGTCAATCATTGTTAACAACAAATAAATATAGTTAACCACACGTGATCATTTAATTTGCAATTATTTATAAGCTATAAAACAATCACTTTTATAACTTTTCTAACGGTTTATTAAACGCTATTTAAATCAATTGTTAAGTCATGTCATCCGTACCCAAAAGACTTGGTTTTGTGGATCAAACGCAAAATCTGATTGACATTATCTTAAGCGGCCGACGAAGACATTACATATTGAAGTCAATCATTACTCTGAATGTGGTTTACATTATTATTTTGGGCGTCATTTCATTCACACAATTTCTATACGTTTTGAATCTAATTCAACGATATTTGACCGCAGAATCTGACATCTGGTCCGTCTTATCGGTGAATACAGGGCTCAAAACTGTGGGCCTTTGGGTGGCAATCAGTGGTCACTTCTTTGGCCTCTTCGGTGTTGTCACCAAAAACTGTTACCTATTATTGATGAGCGCTTTGATTGGTCTGAACGCCGGAATCGTCTACTTATGTCTACTCATTGGCAACTTCTTTACCATTCCTCTCATTGTATTCATATTTGGCTCACAATTCATTCACATTCAGTTCACTCTCTCTTTACTCACTTTTATTCTGTCTTTAAATTACATGCATTACAGACAAAGACAATCAATCCCTAGATTTATGTAAAATTGTATTTATTATTGATTTTCCACTTATATTTTTATTGTATTTATTTCCTAAATTGTATGAATAAAAGTCTTATATTAATGAATTACTAAACAAAAAATGATATTATAATCCCTAGATTTATGTAAAATTGTATTTATTATTGATTTTCCACTTATATTTTTATTGTATTTATTTCCTAAATTGTATGAATAAAAGTCTTATATTAATGAATTACTAAACAAAAAATGATATTACAAATCTGCCTTATGGTAAGGTGCCTTTTGGCTAGGGGATTGTCAAAACAAATGCTCCCTCTATACTGTACTGCTATATACTGTATATTTTTCCACCCAGCCAAAAGGCACCTTACCATAAGGCAGATCTGTTAATAAGTAATTTGAGTTAAATAATGTGACGATAATAAGTAAATTATAGGCAATTTCTTAGCCTAACGTCAAAACATTTAAATATAAATCTCGTGCAAACCGTATGTATAAAAGCACCGAAACATACATTAAAAGTATATTTCATTAGGAATTCGTTGGTTTCGAAAGTTATGTCAATTGTCTACTATTCGGCTCTAATTATAGACATTTCTCAATGAATGAACATTTGTTACAATTTCACTCAAACTCATTGAATTGATTATAAGCGCTATTAATATAGTATTCTTGTGTTTAGACTTAACTCATAAATAATATGTGAATTTGGTTTTAAACAGAGAAACTTAAAGTGTCTTGAAATGAATGAATTAAGAAATGTAATCCTTTTGGCCTTCACTTCAGTGATGGGTTTGACAGCACTTATGACCAGTTGTCTGATCGACAAGAATTGGGTTTTATTGTCGATTCTTATCTTTCATATATTGAGTCCCTTTCCATATCTGGTGGCAAACTGTGGCAGTGATGAGAGAGTGGATCCCAATTCAGTGATCTGTGATTGGATTTACTTCATAACCACTGGATTAGTCATCTCATCGTTTGCATTGCCGATCGTCTTCTTCCGGATGGCTTTCATTTCATGCTTAGCTCTCACTCTGGCCTTCATATCAGATATAATTGTATTTTTGTCACTTTGGGCCGTATTTAAGCATTTGGTGAAACTCAATGATTATTACTATTAGATATTCACATAAAACTTATAATTATAAAATATACCCATATTTGTCGATAACAAAGGTTTCAAATAGTTTTAAATTGTAATAATTTTTGTCTCTATTAATATTTATTGTAACTTCATTTTTATTTATATTAATATTAGTTTTTAATACATTTTAAATTGATAATTGAAAACCGTTAAAAGTGTACAGAGATTTTATTCATTCAATTTCAATCACATTTTATATACAAAAACTCATTTTTACAGCAATTATAAGTTATTTTGAATGAAAAACACATTTCATTGAGAGAAGTATGAGTGGACCGACACTTCACTTCAATTATCATAGTATTTGGTCGACAAACAGACGCCGACAACGAAATTGTTGTCATATTTAGCGATTCAATAGTATTGAATACCCGAAAAAATTGCAGTGTTTATTGAGTTGAAAGAAATGATAACAAATTTTGAGATAATGTCATCACTGGTAGCACTGATGGAGGAGAGAAAGGGAAGCGCTGTTACGACCCATGCATTTAACGAACAGAAATTTTAAGTCTAATGTTTCTAATGTTAAGTTAATGTATGAATAAGTCTATTATCATAAGTAAATGAGATGCTTATCGTTTTAAGTCCATAATTACAGTTATACCATATATACCATCGTATATGGTATGGAAGGACACACTGGTATGGATGGAATGGTGTGGTATAGGAATGACATTGGATAGTATGGATAATATGGGACAGTATGAAGAATATGGTAGAAAACTGGATGATATTTGTTGGACGTCTAATAGGGCTCTGTGTTGATGCAAATCATGCGTGTATTGTGATTACATCTCCCCCTCCAACTCAATACAGTAGATATTGTTATTTGACTACAAATGCTGTACAAAATAGGGATCCCTATAAAGTGGTGTTATAGTGGGCCAGTATAGTGCACCTGGAAGTGCAACCAACACAACCAACATATCCAACATATTGGCCAACGGCTCAGAGGAGGGCTCAGAGACGGCTTAGTGACTGAACTGAGTTTAATCTCTTGCCTTTTAGGCCTGATTTCTACACAACAGTGAGAGAGCATCACAATAGAGGAACAGTCGCACAGAGGAGAAGCCAATACTGCCTCCGCTCTTAAAGCTCGAAATATGAGAGTCTATTAAAAGTTTTCAATGTATTGAACAAAAAAATTGGTGAAAACTCTGATTGGGAGTCGAAATACAAAAGCACATCAAATACAAGAGCATAACAGCAGTAGTTTTGTCGCTCTGGGACTCACTTTAGGACTGAGAAAAAATGACACAAATGTTAGTGGTTTACAAATGATAGGGATATGGTGTTAGCGCTTATATAGTACACCATTGTATTCATCCATACATTCTATACATCATTTACATTATCCATACTTTTATAGCTCTCTATCAATACATTGTTTGTTATTCTTCGATCAAACTTTCAAATTTGATACAAATTTCTTAAACAATAACATAGGAACCGATGCCGGGGCTCAGAATTCAGTGGATTTATACATATCTGATAGAAGTCTATCTATTGCTATATTTCCAATCGTTTTCCTGAAGAAGAGTTCTTCGATTGTGTTTCCGCTGACACTTCTAAGCGATGGTAACATTAAAAGCAATTTTCCGAAACGGAATGACTGTTGTGTCGGATATGCGCTCGAAATGTACTGATTTAGAGTTAGTTGTGCCCTGTCTTGGGCTACAGATATGGAACCGCTGTCTCGCAGTTCGTGAACAGTAGTCGATGGTGTGGTCGATGACGAGGGAAACACTGCAATCAAACACATATACCATTGTTTATAAGGATGTGTCCATAAAATAAGAGTATAGTTATAATGTGAGGATAAAAGTATAGCTTAAGTTTCCGTTTTCACAGACTTTTAGCCAAACAACTGAAAAAGGATTGAATGAACAAAAGGGTATTGAAGTTATTGTTATTAAATGCTCACCAGTTTTGAACAGAACAATGGCTTTAAGACAAGTGTATTCAGTGGTGTCGACTCTCATCTCTTTGAATTTAGTAACAATTTCTTGAAAACATCTAATTTCAGTCATAAATGTGACGAATTTGTCTGTTTTGGAGGCATTAGTGATCGCCGACTCTTCGCTCGTTGCCAACAATGAAGTCGAGTTAATACCCGCCGAAGCTATTAGTGGCTCCATATCGATGGGAAGCATGAATTGTGCGGCACTCAGAATAAACAACTCTCTCCAGCCCTCCTCTATTAGCAATAACTGTCCAAATAGTGAGTTAAGAAAAATGTTTCAATACATTGCCACTAATGCCAGTGTCTATTGTCTAACGTTAATATCAATTTTTACGGATTATATCTCAAACACACACAAACCTGATCTCTCATAGGGAGTGACACAAACACGGGTAGAGTTTTCAACCATTTTATGTTATAGAAGAGAAGTCTGGCAGCGGTTTCGCACACAGTCTCACAATTTGACGACAGAAATCCATTCAATGATCCATTCAGTGATCCGATGCCATTAGGGTATGGAAACGGATACTAAATTCAAAACCAACAAATGATCAATATTTGTAACAATCAGTCACTCAAGTTATGTAAATCTGATATTTTAATTACATTTTACAAAAATAATTTTTTTTCTTCTTATATTCTATAGAAAACATTTAATGAAAAGAAGTTTTCAACTTTTAAAAGCATTTTCGATATAAAAGACATTTATGATGAAAGATATCTATTGATCAAATTGAGGATATAATATAATGATTAGACTTTAAGCTATTGTTGGTATGTTTTCCTAATTCCGTATAAGTTTTCATAAGCTTTTACCGTAGAGTTAAGAAAAGATTTTGTGCTCTCGTTTTTTATTCATGTGATAAAATCAAAAAACACTTACTTTAGGAGTTGGATGGCATACAGCTGTCGGCCTTAAAGTCAGTGAATTTGAATCTATTAAACGGGGAATTGAAGCTAAAGTAGAGGCCAAAGAGATCTCTGCGTTGGTTTGCGGACGTATTTGGGAATTGTTGGTTGGGATGGTTAGGTGTGCTGATGAAACAGGCATTGGGGGTGACATGAAGGTTGACGTGAGACTTAATCTATCGATAACTGATGTATCCTTTAGATAGAGAGCCACTTGTCTTCTTATAGTTGAGTTTCGGGGACCTCTTTCGTGCTGAACGGCGTCTTTATTCATGCCTTCGTCGACGCATCGATTGAGACGACACGCGCGGCATTGGTTTCGATGGGTTTTATCGACCGGACACTTGTTAGCACTCGAACCGCGAGCTTTGCAAATATACTGACGGTTACGGCGAATGGATCGCTAGATTTGATTATGTTATGTATTTTAAAAGTTGTCTAAACATATTAGACTCGAGGGCCTCGAGTCCAACACTACAGCGTGTTATTCAACACTAAATGGATCCATACCTTGAAAAAACCGGCGCATCTATAGTGAGAGAGGGCGACAAGAATTGAGACCAAATTTAGTGACATTTGCGTTAATTGAATCAATACTATGATTGAGTTTTAGTAAAAAAGGGGAATTAAGTGTGGATTGCAATTGACAGGAGTGCACGTGTCTGTGTGTCTGTCCGTTGTGTGCAATTGCGGTCGCATTCAGTATTTAATTGATAACAATAGAGAACTGTTAGCCAAGGCATTAGGCATTAACTCAGAAAAGCTTTTTTTATATAACGAATGCATTAATACTGGGAGTCATTGATTGAATCTGAGCCTCTATTTTTAGTTTTTCAATGAATGTCTCAAATATAAAGCATTTGAACAAAAAAGTGAATATCTATTAATGGAAGGCAATAGAAAGTAATACAAACCCATCGCAGGCAAAGATGCCGTAATGTTTGCCAGAAGAGTGGTCTCGACATACTTTGCATGGGATGTCCAGTAGTATACGGCCTACAAATGCATAATACAGGTTAGTTTAGGACAAAAATATCGATTTATACATTATATAAAGTGTTTGAATGTATTGTTTGATTAAATTGATGAGTCGGTTATACACGACTGCCTAATGAACATCTGGTGCACCGGTCTATCAGAATCGTGGGCTAAATGACAAATCAGTGTTGTTTTTTGGATCGCATTTTCCCACGAATAGCACTAAATGCAGATATTTTGCATCATATCATCACTTATTACCTTTTATTTTTGGTTCAATAAATATTCTCACATGAAATCTATTGATGATTGAAAATCATATCATAAAGTATTTGATTTCCGCTCAAACAATAATGTAATTATTGTTTTCCACAAATTTCCCTATAAAACAGCCAATTATTTTACTGATCTTCTCTCTAATGATTTAATTGCTTTTCACTCGTATGCAACACATCTGCACTCAAACACTATTCAACAGTATATCATATATTCAATGTTGATAAAAAGCGGTCATTACGGTAGTCATGACAGTCTCGGGTCCGATCTGGACCTCATCGGTGTATAAGAATCGGAGTAACGCCAGAAAGGCTGCCGGTTCTACATCTGGCAAATCGATCTCATCGTTCTTCGTGGCCATCGCTCCGTTAAACATGGCGTCGAAGACAGCGCTTCCGATTGAGAGCACGAACTTATGGGCCGGAGTTCGCAACTGTTGAACACCTTTGCCCACCAAGAAGTGCACGTCGGCCAACACTTCCCGGTTGAAAATGGCAGACATGCGGTCTTTGATGGACCCTTTGCTCGCCTGCCAATTGAAGAGAACCTGATTCGTGGTCTGACTCGAGCCGAAGTTGAGGGCCGACACGGAATTGGATGACGAGCTGATGGACATGGAAGTGGTCGGAGCGTTGAACGGCATCTCAACGTCACGTCGAAAGCTATTTGACTCGCGATTCGGCGATTGCTTTGTCGCCTGATTTACCGGTTGTGTCGACGACTATAACATTACCACAGATTAAACACAATTCAGAGACAATTTCAGGAAATTATTCATTGATTTAAGTATTGATTTGTTAATTAATGTCACAAATAATTGATAACATTTAGCAACCAATCAATACAACCTTTTGTGTCAATAAATAATTAAAAATAATAAAATATGGGATTAAATGTCTTAATGGTGTGGAAAATGAGATAATGAATATGAAATGAATGTCTATTTTAGTGTAAAATTGAAGCAAAAGATGATAATTACATGAATGGCTTCATTATCGGCAAACAATTGTGACGAAGAATTAGAGGAATGAGTGGTGGAGTCGATGAGTGCCATAGAGTGACGATTATCTTCGGCGCCGTTCATCTGATCCATTGATTGCACATTATTTGCGTTGTTTTGGTTTGCATTGAGTGGCGAAGAGTTGTCTGAAGAGGTGGTGGACGAGCAGGTGATCTGTTTGCCATTAGATGTGCAGTCCATCAGTGGTGAAACACATTGAGCGACAGGGGATCAGTTGGTGGTGACAATCAAACACCACAACCAAAAGTGTGGCCAAAAAAACAATGTTTTGTTGTTATTGTGAGTGAATTGAGAGTGAATTGAGTGAAGCATTGAATGAATGAGCGATTGATTGGAAAGCGTTTGCCATTCAAGCCGTTAGTCGTCTCTCACAGTGTCTGCAGTGAAGCGAAGGCAACGCTTGTGTCAACACATCCGCCATATTATCCCTGCGTTTGTGACCACACTTTGTGCCGGCATTTGTGTCCCAACACTCAACCTATTCCTCCGCATATCGTGGCCGCACATTATGGGCGAAGACGTGGAAATGAGTTTCGAGACTCAAGGTTTGTAGTGATGTTTGTGTTTGTCATACCATTGTCTTTGTCTCACGCATTGTCTCGCATTTGCAGACATTAAGATCAAGAGTGAACCGCGAGATAAAGAGAGGGACAGAGATAGGGATCGGGACAGAGATCGCGACCGACAGGACAGGGATAAAGACAAGGATAGGGAGAGAGATAAGGATAAAGACAAAGATGGGAAAGACAGAGACCGGGAAAAGGAGAGAGCGGAGAGACATAAGGAGAAGGAGAGGGAGAGAGACAAAGATAAGGACAGAGAGAAAGACAAAGACAGGGATAAAGATAAGGACAAAGATAGAGAGCGGCCGTCGAAGAGTGAGAAAGACAAAGACAGAGAGCGGCCGCCGAAGAGTGAGAATGAGAACAGAGAGAACAAAGAGAGAGATAAAGACGGCGATAAAGAGCGTCGAGGAGCCGATGGCGTGGACCGCGAGACCCGTTCGCGGCGACACCGGTCGCGATCGAAGGAGCGGTCGTCCCGTCGCGGCGGCGGAGAGCGCGGCGGCGAACGCGAGGGTCGAGAAGAGCGCCGTAAGTCTCGGGCGGAAGAGCGCGACCGCGAGGATCGATCGCGATCTCCGAACCGAAGCAAAATCAGTCGCCGCAAGAAGCAGTCCAACTACTGGGATGTGCCGCCGCCCGGCTTTGAACACATCACTCCCGTTCAGTATAAGGCAATGCAAGCCGCCGGACAAATACCCACCACACTATTCGCAGCCCCCGGCGCCGCACCCGTCCCTATAGTGGGCAGTACTATCACAAGACAGGCCCGACGCCTATATGTCGGTCAGTATTTGTTTGCTATTATTTATTAACAATTGAAAACATATGTAATGAATGGAAATTAATTTGCAATGGTTTAGGAAATATACCGTTTGGTTGCAGCGAAGAAGAGATGATGGACTTCTTCAACGCCCAGATGCACGCCTGTGCGTTCAGTCAGGCGCCCGGCAGTCCAGTGCTCGCCTGTCAGATCAATCTCGATAAGAACTTCGCTTTCCTCGAGGTTTGTGTCCATTCAATGCATTATATTTTAAACTCAATTGTGAGAGCACTCGAACTCAATAGCTTTTTGTGTCCATTTCCATGGCCTTAGAGTTCGCATGAGTGCCACAATAAGTGGCTTTTTTGGTTTAAAGGTCTTCAACAATCGATTGATTCAATCGATTTATGTGTCCTTTTATTTCGAAAAGTCAACAGTTTTTTTTTGTAAATTGAAATTATTTTATAAAATTATGGTTTAAAAGCGTTGTTTGCGATTAAAATATAACTGAATTTATTATGTTTTGCAAATCGTTAGTTTCGATCGATTGATGAGACGACTCAAGCGATGGCTTTCGACGGCATTAACTTTAAGGGACAGTCACTGAAGATTAGAAGACCGCATGATTATCAGCCAATGCCTGGCATGAGTGAACAGCCGCAGTCAACTGTTCCCGGAGTTATCTCCACAGTTGTCAACGACTCTCCATTTAAAATATTTATCGGAGGTCTGCCTAACTATCTAAATGAAGATCAAGTGAAGGGTAAACACCGTTTTAAATGCTCACAAATGACGTGAAATTGATTATTAATTTGCATTTCAGAGCTTCTCATGAGTTTTGGTCAGTTAAGAGCGTTTAATTTGGTGAAAGACAGCGCCACCGGTCTCTCAAAAGGGTACGCGTTCTGCGAATACGCCGATAACAACATCACGGATCAGGTATTTTTCCAAATAAAGCACTCAATAGTTAGCCGTTTAATGTTTGAGATCTATTGATATCAATGCCATTTGAGACAAATATAATGATATTCATTGCTTAACAGCGATTGCGACGACTGTCACACTTTGAGGAAGAGTTATAAGTCATGTTTAGTTTAAGATTAAGATTTTCCAGACCTATAAAAGAGACCAAAATATTTCTAATTTGGTTTTCTTTTGTTTCATTTTCAGCACTTTTTTCTTTTTAGCATTTTTTCGTTTTTTTGCTCTTTTAGGCGATTGCGGGACTCAATGGCATGCAATTGGGCGACAAAAAGCTCATTGTCCAGAGAGCCAGTGTCGGCGCCAAAAGCGGCCCATTGGCTGCCGCACTGGCCGGGGCTGCAGCCATATCAGCACCCGTACAGATACAGGTGCCGGGACTGCAGAGCGTGTCCGGCGGTGTCGGTAATCCCACAGACGTGTTGTGTCTGATGAATATGGTTGCAGCCGAAGAACTTAATGATGACGAAGAATACGAGGATATTCTCGAAGATATTCGCGAAGAGTGCGCCAAATACGGCGCCGTCAAGTCATTGGAGATTCCCAGACCTATTGAAGGCGTTGAAGTTCCCGGACTCGGAAAGGTTTGCCTCTCTCTTTTTCCCTGTCTCTGTCTTTCCCATCTTTGTCTTTATCCTTATCTCTCTCCCTATCCTTGTC